CACAGAGGCAGCGTCAGCCTCGGCTGGATGCAGCAGGAAAACTGGGAAGTTTTCCTAGGGCTGAATTTCTGAAGGAGAAACTTCATCCAGCTGCTTCCTCTTCCCTTCCCCCAAACCCCAGTGCCCACCCGCATCCATCGGCTCAGGTTTGCCACACGCAGCCTACGGAGCAGAGAGGGGGGGAAACTCATGGAATCAGGGTATCCAGCAGCATCTGGAATCCCCAGATTGCTCCCAGGGCTGGGGGCAGGACCCCAGCCGTGGCTGGAGCACCCGGTGCTTTCTCAGTCCCCAAACACAGCACTGGAACGCCACAGCCACCCCTCAGCCCCATCCCCTCCGCCCTCACCATCCTCCCGGGAGAGGTGCAGCCCCCGGACTGTCACCGCAGTGCCGGGTGTCCCCCAAATTCCACAGCCGACCCCCCCAGCTCCGTCCTCTCCAGCCCCATCCTCCCCGGAGAGGTGGCAGCCCCGGGGCCGTCACCGCAGCGTTCAGTGCCACCTCACGGCCTGGCAGGACACCAGGGGACCGGGGACACCCATTGTCCCCGCGCCAACCCCTCGGGGCCGTGCCAGGGCCCCGGGAACAGCGGGTGCTGCCCGGTGGGGTCCCTCCGGCCGCGGGGCCGCCCCCCGTGCCCCGCCAAAGCTCCCGGGAGCGGGGGGCCCACGAGGTGGGTGCCGGAGCCCCGCGGACACCCCGGCTGGTGGGATACGAGGCTCAGGGTGGCCTGGGGCTGGCAGGGTGGGTGGCACAGCTGGCACAGCCCCCCCGGGACAGTCCCGCGGCTGCTGCGTCACCGGGGCCGGGGCAGCAACTTCCACCCAGTCGCTGCTCCCGGTCCAACAGCCCCAGTCCGGACCGAGCCGGCAGCCCCCAACAGCCCCCAGTAGCCCCCAGTAGCCCCCAGTTCCGAGCAGGCCTCCCCTCCGCGGGCTTCCAGGGGCTCCACCGGCCCCGGCGCGGCCGTCCCAGCCCACCCACACACACACCGACCCACCCAGCCACCCACCGGGCGCTCAAAGCGCGGCGGGAGCGTGCGGGCGTGGGCGGGAGCACGAGGGGACGTGACGGGGCACGCGTGGGGCCGATCCCCTCCGCCCGCCCCGCGTGGCCGGTGTCCCCCCCCCCCGGCTGGGAGCCCCGGTGGAGGTCCCGGTTCTCCAGCCCCCCCCCACGGAGCTCACGGGACGGCCCGCGGAGGGATCGGCGCCATCCCGGGAACGGGGATCCCGCGTCCCCCGACCCTCCCGACGGCTCCTACCTCCGGGGGGCTCCGAGCGGACCCCGGCGGGGCGGCGGCGGCTGCGGCGGCTCCGCGTCCCCGGTTCCCCCGGCGGCGGCGGCGGTTCGGTCTGCGAGGGAAGCGGCACATCCAGGGGGGGGGACGGCGGCTGCCGGGCTGGGGCGGGACGGGACGGGACGGCTCCCCCCGCGCTCCCCCGGCCCGCCCCGGGCGCCCGGAGAAAGTTACCGGAGCCCGGCGGGGGCGGCGGGTCCCGGCGGGTCCCGCTCCGGCAACTGCGGCGGCGGCGCCGATCGCGCCCGGGACGGAGACCCCGGCCGGGAACGGCGGCCCCGAAAACCCGGGATGGATCCGGGACACGCAACGGCCCCGCGCCCGCGCGCACCCCCCCCCCCCCCCCCCCCCCCCCCCCCCACGCGCGCACCCGCGGGTCCCGCACGCTGAGGGCCGGCGGGCGCCCCACGCGCGTCCCCGCGCGTCCCCGCGGGTCCCCCGCACCCACGGAGCCGGGCACACGCGTGGGCACCTGCGTGCGCGGGCGCGGGGCGCAGGCGGCGCGTGGGAGCGCACAAACGGCTGCGCCCACCCGGGCGAGGGATCACGCGTGTAAACGCGCACCCGCCGGCGCACGGCGCTCGCTTGCGGGCACTCACAGCACAAACACGCGCGGGGGGCGCAGCCCGTGAACACGCGGAGGGGGGACAGACGCCAACCCCGCATCCACGCGGGGACGCAGCCTGCGCACACACGCGGGGTCACACCCCACGCCAGCCCGCGGCGGGGGACACGACCCGTTTACACGCGCACGCGGGGGGCACAGATCCCGCACACACACACGCGCGGGGGGCACAGACACGCACACGGGGAGGGGACCCCCCAAAGCCCACGCACACGGAGGAGGCACAGCCCAAACACACGCGGGGGGCACAGCGCTGCACTTGTGGGGGGCAGAGCACACACACATACACACGGGGGGCACCCCCCCAGCCCACGCACCCGCGGGGAGCACCACACGCGGTCAGGAAGCGCAGCCACGCACACGCGGGGTCTGCAGCCCGCACACGGCGGGCACAGCCCGAACACCCACGGGGGGCACATCCCGCAGCCCACGCACACGGGGGGGGGGGACACCGCCCCCCGCCCCCCCACGGGGGGGGGGACGGCCACCAGCCCACGCACACACAGGGGGGGCACAGCCCGCGCACGGATCGTCCATACCCATCCCGCACACGCGTGGGGGGAACACCCCTGGGCCCAGGCAGAGGCACAGCCCACCCTCGCTCGGGGGTCCCGTCCCACGCACCCGGGGGGTCCCGGGGGGGGTCCCGGGGGGGGGTCCGGGGCGGGCCCGGGGGGGTCACGGCCGGGCAGCGCCCCCTGGTGGCCGCGGGCGGAGCCCGTCGTGCTCCCCGCGCCGGTGCCGCCGGTGACCGGGACGAGCCGCGAAGGTGACGGGGCCGCGCCGCGCTCCCCGCTGAGCCCGGAGCCGCTTTACCGGGATTACCCCGCCGGGGACTCTGCTGTCCCCGGCACTGACCTGTCCCGCCCGTGCCATCCCGCACCGCGGAGCAACTTCAAGGCGTGGCCCCCGTCACGGCTGCGGGACCCCCGGGGCAGAGGGACATCACGGGAACCGCTGTAGGACGGGATTTCAGGACCCCTCGGCTCCCAGCCGGGACCCGCACAATCCATTCCCTGCCTCAGTTTCCCTCCCCGCTGTCCCAACCTGAGATCGGCTCCTTTCCCTGCCGCTCCCCCAGAGCAGAGAGGGTGAGGAGGGGTCTCTGCTCCCCGGGAAGCCCCCGGCACGCGGGGGAGGTGGCAATGCCGGCAGGGCCCCCCCCCTTCCTCTGGCAGGAGGGGGGGAACAGCCAGCGGGGTACCGGGATGCCCCCAGACTCTGGGTTCCACTCCAGAGGCTCCGAGGTGGGGGCGAGGTGGTGGGTTCGGGTTCGGGGGTGGGCCCAGGTGAGGGGGGTGGGCCCAGGTGAGGGGCTGCCTCCATCCCTGTTTTGTAACGAGCGTTAAGCGGCTCAGCAGCTTTGCCCCTGAGCTGAGTGTGACCCCGGATAAGCTGCCCGGGGTCCGAGAACTCACCCCAAGCCCACCCTCCTCTCCCCACGGGACCATCTGCGCGGCCAGACGGCCCCCGGGTCCCTTTTGTCGCCAGCTCCGAGCCCCTGAGTGCCACCCACACCAGGGCAGCCCCACCCGGAGCAGCCTTTCACCACCAGCCCCCCGAGCCCGCCCCGTCCCCCACCCCACGGGTAATCCCGGTCTCCTGTTTGGGAAAGTCAAAGCGGCTCAGAGCAGGGCCAGCTGATCCCCCGGCTTAGGGATTTAGCGGTGCCACCGCAGCCAGCTCGGCACCTCGGGCGCGGGGGCAGCGTGTCAGTGTGTCAGTGAGTCAGCACCTCCCGCACACGCGCGTGGACACCCCCCCTCCACGGGAACACGCTCCTTGCCGCGGGGAAAACAGAGGAAAAACTTTCCTCGCCGGCGAAGGAAAATGCGCGTGTGGTGTCCCGGTGGGATGCTCCCCGCGGCCGGACGCATTCCAGGCGGGAATGCTGATCCGGGGAGGGAGCGGGGAGACTGCGGACACCACACACGTCCCCGAGCGCCTCCCGGAGATCCATCTCCCGGAGACCCATCTCCCAGAGATCCATCTCCCGGAGATCCATCTCCCGGAGACCCATCTCCCGGAGATCCATCTCCCAGAGATCCATCTCCCGGAGATCCATCTCCCGGAGATCCATCTCCCGGAGATCCATCTCCCGGCGTGTGCAGGGCAGCACGTGCTCCGGGGACACGGACCGGGGCTGCGGGAGCGCCCGGGAGGCCGAGGAGGCGTCCGGCAGGTGCCGTTGGCTCTTCCCCCACGCCGGGATATTTTGGGAGCGCGGCCATGGCCGCGGTGCCCCGGGGGGATGCCCGCGGGCGCTGGCTGATGAAAGCCGCCCTTTGGCCGCTGGCAGGGCCAAGCTGGGAAAGCGAGGGGGGTTTGTCCCCAGATAAAACGGCCCCAAAGTGAGCTTTGAGCGGGCGCTTGCGCAACGGGGCCCCGGGGCAGCGTGTGGCATCTCGGCGGGATGAGCGGCACCTCCCACCCCGGGAGCATCCCACCCTGAATTCCAAAAGAGACTCCCCGTCACCCACCAGTCCCTCTGGCTGCGATGGGGCTGACACTGGGGTCACTGGGTGGTGTTTCAGGGGAGCACAAGAGGGGCGCAGGGGATTTGCAGTAGGGGCCCGGGATTTGGGGGTGGGCTGTGGCTCTCAGCACCTGAGGTCACCTCCCCGGAGCCAGAGTCTCCAGAGCTTTGTTTGGGGTTGCTCCAGGTGCAGAACAGAATCTCCAGGTGGGGCAATGCCCCCCAGTACCTGCCCTGCTGGGGCACAGCTTGGTTGCCACCCCTCTCCAGCCCCCAGTGAGGTGATACCTGGTTCCCCGCCCCTGCCTGATCCCTGGGACCCCCATCCACAGGGAAGATCCCAACCCTCCCCTCTGCACCCAAGGAGCCCCCAAAACCCCACAACTGCCCTCATCTCCCAGCACAGCATCACTGTGCAGCTCCTGTGCTGCTCCAACCCCAGAGCCTGAGGGACCTGGGACCTTCTGGCCAAGCAGGATCCTCTCGCCCACCCCATCCATGCAGGTGGTCCCAGGAAAAAGCAGCCAGAGCCTGGATATAGCATTTCCACCCATTTATTTGGGAAGCCACACCAAAATATTATATAATAAATTAAAGCATAGGCCATGTGGGTGCATCAGGGAGGTGAGGGCAGAGCAAGAGCTTCAGCAGAAAGGATGGAGCACCAGGAGTCCCGATGGCTGCAGGAACCTCCACTGAAAAAGTCGGAATAGCTGCAAAACTGGAGGCACAAACCAAATCTGTACCTTTAGTGTGATCCTAAAGGCAGAGTCTGAGCCAGAACTCCCTGTAGGGTGGCACCAGGCTGGAGGAGACCTGGCTGGAGGGTGGGAGCAGGGGAGGAAAACATAAACCCAGGGAAAGGGGGAACACACAGGACCTGGAAGTTTGGCCCTCACAGCTCCGTGAGCTCCAGGGAGCAGAGGACTGTCCAGTCATTGCTGGTTTGGGGTTTTTGATGAAATCACACCATTCACCCTCCTCTCCCAGGCCTGTTATTTGTGCTCCATTCCACCTGTCCCAGAAAAAGGCCTAAACTGGATGCAGGAAGGTTTGTTCCAGTAGGGAAACAAGTGGGGCTGCCTCGTCCTCCAGCTGCCCCCGTGGAGGAAGGAGACCTGTTCCCACATCCCACTCTGCTCCCGAGGAGGCCGAGTTCCAGACCATCACTGGACACTGAGTGTGAACCAAGCAGGGCCCCCTCACCCCACACCAGAGGGGGACAGGACCACCAGGAATGTGAGATCAGCTCCAGGGATGCCCGGAGTCACCAACACCCACAGTCCAGGCTCGGGCAGTCTCATATGGCCTTGGCTCCATCCCACGTGCCCCCAAAGCCCCCCGCCCCAGGCACTCTCTGGAGGCAACCCCTGCTCCCTCTCGTGAGACCCTCTCCCTCCCTCCCAACCTTTCCAAAGGGCTCCACTGCACCCCGGGCTGGCTCCAGCTCACGGGAGCTCTCCAGCTCCCTCCCCCTCCACCAGAGAGACAGTCCTGGAGAAGGGGGGGGGTCCCAGCACGGCTCCCCCAGCCCTAACTACAGCCACAGGCATCAACAATCATGTCGGGAATGTCAGTCTTGACTATGTTGCTGTTGCGATCGAAGTAGAGGACGGAGAGCGGGCGGCGCCGGGTGGGGACGCAGCAGGAATGCCCCGACGCCTGCACGTTGTTGGCTTTGACGAGGTTGAAGACGGCCGTGTGGAAGGAAGAGGCCATCCCGGGGCTGCCCGCCACGTGCAGGGGGCACTGGCCCACGCAGTAGTTTATCTGGTAGCCCTCGGGCTTAATGATCCAGTCGTTCCAGCCGATGTCGCGGAAGTCCACGTAAAAGTCCTTGCGGCAGCACAGGCTGGAGTTGGGGCTGCAGCGGAGGCTGCGCTTGGCCACGCGGTGCTCGGGCTCCCGCACCTTCGCCTTGGCCACCAGGAAGGGCTGGTGGGACCAGCTGGCGTTGAGCGGTGCCGCGATGTCCCCCCCGTCTCCGCGGCTCTCCAGCTCCAGCCGCAGCGTCCGGCTCTGCCCCCCGAAGAAGCTCCGCAGGGCGGGCAGGAGGGGGAAGGAGCTCCAGCCGCTCCCCGCCGCGCTCAGCCGCCTCTCCCCCAGCAGCGTGCGGTTGCCCCCCGCCCCAGGGGCCAGGAAGATGCTCAGGGTGAGCCCGGGCCGGGGCACTCGCAGGTAGAGCCACAGCTGAGCCTGCAGGATGCGAATGTCCTGGTCCTGCGCCTGGCTGAACTGGAACTGCAGCCCCAAACCGGAGGGGGATGTGAGATCTGAGGGGAGAAAGGGATGAGGAGGTGAGAGCTGTGGGATGCTGCTCCAACATCCTTCAACTTCTCAGGAAACACAAATTTTCCTCCCTCCCCGTGTCCTTCCCTCCCGTGGGAACGCTACCCCCGGAGTGGGGGGTCCCCGGGGCGCAGGACAGGGACCCCCCGCCCCGGGGCTCACCGGGTTCACCCGCACCCCGCCGGGGACCGCGTGGGCTCCCACGGGGGGGTCGCGCGAACCCACCCGTCTCCGCGAAGCTGATGATCTCGTAGCCCCGCTCCTCCTCCTCCTCCTCCTCCCCGGAGGGGCCCCGGCGGGCGCCTCCCGCCTGCAGCCGCCGCAGGGCGCGGGCCACGGCGGCGCGGGGCACGGCGTGGGCGAGCCGCGGGCGATCGCGGAGCCGCAGCTTCTCCAGCAGCTGCTTCTTGGCCACCTCCTCCAGCAGCCGCCGCTCCGCGCCCGCCGGGCACGACGGGCAGCGCGGCTCGGCCGCCGCCGCCGAGCACAGCACGGCCGCCAGCAGCAGCCACGGGCCCGCGCCGAGCGCCGCCATCCGCGCCCACCGGACGGCACCGGGAGCGGCGCCGGGAGCGGCACCGACGGCACGGGAGCGGCGCCGGCACAGAGGGACCGGCGCCGAGCGGACGGGAGCGGGAGCGGCGGGACGAGGCGGCACCGAAGGGGACGGGACCGGCACCGGTCGCGGCGCCCGCGGGTCGGGAAGGGCACCGGCACCGGGAGCGGTGCGGCGCGGCCCGCTTTGGGCACCTGCGGCCGGGGGCGGTCCCGCCGTCCATCCCCCCCCCGCGCCCCCGCCATTGGCCGCCGCACCTGCCCGTCCCGTCCCGTCGGGGATTACCGGGATTAGCACCCCCAACCCCGCCTCCCCGCGCCCGCCCCGCTGCCCCCCGGGGGAAGGGGCTCGGTGGGCAGCCCCCCCATCCTCCCCTGCTCCCCACGAGCCGTCGGGAGCCCGGGGGAGGAGTAAAATAGAGGGGAGTGCAGAGGTGTGTGGGCGAGGGGCTCACAGACCCGTGGGCTTTGCCTGTGGCTCGCCCTGGCATCTGCCCTGGCCAGCCCCCCAACTCGGGCAGCCGGGTACTGAGCTCCCAAACCTGCTCCAAAACCCCAGGAAGCAAGGGCTGGGACAAATCCTGGCTGGTGGAGGAGATCCAGCCCCGGAGCAGCCAGTTGGAGGGATCCCTGCTCTCCTGCCTGCCCACGGATCTTACAGACCTGCCCCCCAGCCTGGGCACTGCCCCCCGGGCATCCCTGAGCCATCATAGCAGGGTCGGTCCTGTTGGGTGCTGACAGAGGACCCAGCAGGGATCAGGGGGCTCCTGGGATGACCCTGCAGCTCCCAGGGACTGTCACTTTTGTGGCTGTGACCAGGTGATGGCTTTGGGGGTCTGAGTCCACCCCTTGGATCACCTGGTCCAGCCTCAGCCCAGGGCAGAGCCGGGAAGGGCCAGAGAAGGGGAACACTGTGTCCTCTCCTCCTCACACAACAGAAAGGGGGTTTGTATGTCCTGAGGGCTCAGGAGGTGGCAGCCAGTGTCACATCAGCACCAAGATGTCCCTCGGGCTCTTTGGAGTGGGATGTGCAGCCTGAGCCAGGGCAGAAACCTCCGGAAGGTGATGGAAGGTGCCACGTTTCCAGGGGATGGGCAGAGCCCAGATGGAGCAGGGAACCCAGAGAGGGCACGGTGGGAACTTGAAGCCCTGCCAGCGCTCGGCATGTCCTGTGCCCACCGTGCCACGACTCCAAGGTCTTGACCACACGGAGCCCCTGCCCCTGGCCAAGCCAGAGGTGCCATGTAAACACAGTCTGGGAAAAAGCACCCACCGGAGGTGATGCAACCGCGGAGCGAAGGGCAAAGGGCTCAGCTGGCCGGGCCTGCTGGCAGCTCCCAGAATAGCCCAGGAATGTCAACAGAGAGGAAAGAGTGGGCACAGGCTGGCGTGGGAGCAGAGATCCCAGAGGGCCTGGGAGGCCTGGCTGCCGGCGGGATGGAGCAGGTGGCACTTCCAGCCGGGCACAGGTGCCCGGAGCACACGCGCTCACGGGCACGGATGGTCCCACAGGGAGAGCACCTCTACCCTGGAAGTGTCCAAGGCCAGGTTGGACGGGGCTCTGAGCAACCTGGGCTAGTGGAAGGTGTCCCTGACCATGGCCGGGGGTGGAACTGGATGAGCTTTAAGGTCCCTTCCACCCAAAACCATTCCACGATTCTCTGATGCACATCTGCACACTCCCTTGCAAACACGTGTCCAGGCCCCCTCCCAAATATTTGGATTCTGGCTCTGTTTCGGACCCGCTTCACATCCACCACAAGCCATTCCCCTGCTGTGCCAAATTTCTCCACCCCTGCCAGACCCTAGAGCCAGGACCGGGGCCGTGGCACAGCAAGAAACGGGAGACACAAAGTGTGGCAAACGGGCGAGGGACTCCCCAAGCCACCCAGGCTGGAAGGGGAGGGTTGTCCCCAAATCCCCAAAGGGATTAACCCCGTTGAATCCCACCAGGGTCCCTCTGCATGGTGCAGAATCCCCATTCCCCCTCCGGCTCAGCAGGGACGTGGGACGATGCCCAGCCCCTCGTGCCCCCCAGCACGCGCCGGCCCCCCGAAGTAGGGCAGGGGTCAGAGCGGAGCCGCTCTTGCACCCATTGCATCAGTGTGTTGTTGATTAAGCGGTTCCCAGAAAGCAAAGCCCAGGGACTGACCCGACCAAAATACCCCCCCCCGGGTCCCATCCCTCCCCCCCCGGGTTGCACATTCGGCTCCGGGGCCTCCGACCCCGCGGCCGGTGGGATGAGAGTGTGGCACCTGGTGACCTGCCCTGCAGGTGACAACGGGCTGGGCTCAGCACGGACCCCCCAGGAGCTCGTGCAACTCATGGAATCATGGAATCGTGGAATCATTAAGGTTGGAAAAGCCCCTGAGACCATTGAGTCCAAGCCAGGCCACCACAAAATCATGTCCCCGAGTGCCACGTCCACACGTTTTTGGACACTCCCAGGGATGGTGACTACACCCCATTCCAGGGCTTGACCACCCTTTCCACCAAGAAATTTTCCCTAATATTCAATCTAAGCCCCACCCTGGCACAACCTGAGGCTGCTTCCCCTTGTACTGCTGCTTCTTCCTGAGGAGAAGAGCAACGGTCACCACACCGGTGCCGCTGGCTGGGAACGGGCCGTGAGACTGGGAATTAAACATTAACTCCTCTCAAGGCAAGGGAAGGGGCTGTCAAAAATTCCCACCCCTCCTGGGAGCTGGCCCTGGCACAGGGCACTCAGACCTTTGCTTCAGGGGCTGTTGACACTGGCAAGGGGTCCTTCCAAAAGGCACCAGCACATCTGTCCTCTCCTGCAATGGAGACCGAGGGGACATCACCTCTGTCCCACTCTGTGCCACATCTGGCACAGCCCAAGTGCTGGGTTGGTGCCATGGATGCCATGTCCCCCTGGCATTGCCATCCTGGTCCCACAGGATGGTGTCCTGGCACTGGGCCTGAGCCTCCCCCTCCAGAGTCCCCCAGGAGATGAGGGGACCCCGGCAGAGCTCAGTGTCACAGCAGGGAAGGAGGGAGGTGGAGAGGGAGCGTTCCTGGCTCCAGGGATCAGCTGTCCCTGACTGCAGCTTCCTCACCCTGCATGTTCTCCCCGGTGGGAAATGCTACCTCAGAATTCCTGAGCCTTGGAATTCACCCCGTGCTGCGAGTGGGGAAGGGGCTCTCGGCTCCATCCAAGTGCCCTGTTTCCCCTGGGAGTGGGCCAAGCCTCAGCTCAGGGTTTTGGGGTCATGCAGCCCAAGCTGAGGGGTCTGCAGGGCCACGGGAGCAGCTGACACCTCTCCTGCCCCTTCCCTCAGCCCCCGTGTGCCCACGGCTGCTGCAGCCCTGGCGCTGGCTCCGGGGAAGTTGTTTGTTCAATAAACACAGACCGTGGAACGAGGCGTTGGAAAAAGATGGGAAAAAACAAACACTGAACCCTCTTTGGGTTTGCACAAGTGGCCTTGAGCCCCAGACAGGATCAATCCCCGAGCCTCCCCCTCTGCCCCTGCACGGGAACACTGCGGGTCCCAGTCCTGCGGGCACCTGGACACCTGGATCTGGGGACGTGGGGGGTCCCTGCTCCGCCAGGGCTCGGTGGGAGGGTGTGTGCAACGTGGGCAACGTGGGCAACGTGGGCAACGTGGGCAAACACTGCCACCTGTCAGAGGTTGTTCTGTCCCTGCTCCAAGGTGTCCCAGGTCCTCCAGGACATCCTGCCCCTGCTCCAGAGTCGGAGCAGCTCAGGGCTCAGCATCCTGGAGCGGACAGAGGATGCGAAGCTGGGTGGGGAGAGGCCCTGGCACCACCTCCTCCCTCTGCCCACCCTTCCCCACCCAGACCCAGCCTCCAGGGAGGGACCACCAGCACCTGCAGGGCGAGCCCCAGGAGTGAGGTGAGCCCCAGGAGTGAGGTCGGCCCTGGAGCTCCCCTCCCGAATCTCCCAGCCCAGCCCCCCCTTGCCCACCCCTCGCACACGGGGGGCACGTGGGGAGCTCAGAGGAGCCTGAATGTGCCCTTACGTAACGGGGCCGGAGCGTCAGAGCCGCCCTTTGCCCCCTGCTCTCACGGCCCTGGCATGGCCCACTTTGCTGTCCCCGGGCTGCTGAGGGGCACAGAGGGGGGGCAGCGGCTCTGGCCGTGGGCCAGGGGCACGCTGAGGGGCTGGGGGGGCTGTAGGTCAGAGGGGGACCTGGGTGCCACAGCTCTCACCTGGCAGTGCCCGCCCACTTCAGAAGGGAGGACGGAGTTTCTCTTGTTTGGTCCTGATTTGGGGCAAGAACGGCCAAATCCGGGGGGTTTTGGTGGGATGGGTCATTTGGCCCAAGCAGGGGATGGTGCCTTTCCCGCGGGAATCATGAGCCCCCTGTGCCCGGAGGGGTCCCATGCTGTGCCCTGCATCTGGCTGGGGTGAATCAGGGTGTCTGTATCCCTCTGGGAAGGGCAGCTGAGGGGCAGAGAGGGCATGGGAGGCCTTTGGGAACAGTGTGGAGATGCCCAGTCCTGCTTCCCGGGCTTTCTGAGCCGCCTGTGCCAGGAGCACTGGAAGATGTGCTGGCTGATGGCAGGGCACACACGTGTGACACACACACACGTGTAACACACACACATGTGTAACACACATACACACGTGTGTAACACACACACACGTGTAACACACACACATATGGGCACACACATGTAACACACACACATGTGCACACACACCACGGCTGGGAGTCTTTATTGAACACCAGGGATGCTCAGAGAGGGAGACACATTCCTCCCACTGGGATTGATTTCCCCTTCCTTGTCCTCCTCAGCCTCACATCCAGCTGAGTGAGGCCACAGGGGTGACCCATCCCCTTCCCTCCCATCCCCTCCCCTCCCCTCAGTCCTCTCCAGAGCCCCAGCAGCCCGGGGTGGCCACTGGTGGGTCCTGCGTTGGTGTAGCTGCACCCACGACTTCAGGATGGGTCGGCAGTGGGACCACCCTGAGCCGCAGTGTCCGGCAGGAGG